CCGACTCTCTCCACAACCTGCGCGAGGTACTCAAAGAACAGGCGGCTGAGGCAAAAAAGAGCCATTTCGGAAAGGAAACTGGTAAGTTGTAGAGCAAATCAGCTGTTCGCGTGCGGTGCGGTTACCTTGCTGGGTGGTCACCTCCCAGGCACGCGTTAGAGAACAGAGCTTGCCTGCTCCTTGCCGTTTTCTCCTCACAGCGATCAAATATATGCCCCTGGTGTGAGGGGCTGTCTTTCTAAAATCTGATTAACTTTGTGGATAGTGAGGAAGAACGTCTGCCGTGTGACATTGTCGGTGTTCAGAGGGGTTGTAGTAGCGGTAAGTGCCTTCAGCCGCGGCGCTTCTTGGGCTGGCAGCGTGCGTAGGTCGAGAAAGCAAAAAGTCTTACGTAGCTGAAATATTGTTTTGCTTCTCACTGTTTTTATAGTCTTGCATAGTAGTTAGCTGCCAAACACACAGCATTTTATGTCAGAGAAGCTGCAGGGTCCCACAACTTTTTCTTCATATTCTTTTTCTAGTCTTAATTCCTAATCGTCAGTAAATCACTCCCCATTTAAAGCAGTCGTTTTCTGTCTCGCCGTGTGGTGGTGCCAAATTCTTTTCTAAAAGAGGCTTTTTAAGAACTCGCTGGTCATAGTATAACTTTTAATTATCAAGACTTAGGGCTTTTTTTCAGTTGCTTATCTTGGTATCATAATACTCATCAGACTTTTTCTCCCTCGCATACTGTTTGGGCTATTTAATTAAAGTGACCCTTATTGCTCATTCTCATTATGAAGTCCCTTAGTAATTGACAGAATTTGAATGTTACCACAGTCAAGGTCATGTTTTCTCTTTTCATCCTGATATGTAAACAATTTCACCTACCTATATGAATGTATTTCTCTAATATTTTCCCTTGGGGATTTCAGCCCACTTCCTGGAGATAGGTTTTATGATATTTACCTATTTTGCTGACAAAAAAGCTGAAACATAGTGCAGCATAATTAGTTTGCCAGAAGTCAAATATTAAGTTAATGTCAGAAATAGAGCCAAGATCTGGAAATCTCTTTAGACTATATTTTTTTTAGCCCTTGAGCAACTGGTTGTGGCATATATTAAGATTTCCTCTGCTTATTCTGTTTGCAAATACTTTCTGTTCTTTGTCTTTAATAGTTTTCTTAATTGAAGTTTGCCTTAATTTCATCAGCTGGTGTAGAAAGTGTGAATCAGTATGAGAATATCCTGACACATGCACTATGTCTTTTTTTGCAAATTTCAGTTTGGTTTAGTTTATGTATATAATTTAAAAAAAAAAAATTTGCTTTCATGAGTAGGAACACAGTTACTGAGTGATTTTGGCTTATAGTGTTAGCATTTTCTGGCTGCATTAAAAGGATACTTTTCATGTTAAGGGAACTGAGTGATTTTGGCTTATAGCGTCAGCATTATCTGGCTGAATTAAAAGGATACTTTTCATGTTAAGGGAACTAATAACAGGAATTTTGCACTTTTGGTATCTGAGCTGCTGCATTAGGTTATATGGACATAGCCTCTGGCATGTACTTTTAAGGGGGTTCTTAAAAAATACTTGAACAACGTGATCTATTTTTCTTTCATATTATACTTGGTATGCTGTATTTAGTTGATCTGTGAATGACAGCAGAGTTCTGATTTCTTTTTTTTTTTTTTTGCTGTTGAATGGAACTCCATGACATAGCAGGTCTGTACATTACTAAGTTTTGCAGAACAATCAGCTTATTGGAAGATGACTCTGATAAACTGTACTTAAAGGGTACAAAACCCATCCTTGTTACAGACACGTTATTTTGTGGATCACCGGAAAGTGCGTGTGGTTGGAGGACAAGGAGGAGGAGGAGGTCATTCTTTTTATAGTGAACCCAGAAAAATAT